GGTTGAGCTGTTGTTCAGCATCTTAGCTGTAGAGGGCAGTGTCACTGGCCCTCATATGTGGGATCCGAACCGGGGTCCTCTGGCGTCCCAAGCCAGCTCTTAACCAATGCGCCACTTGGTTGGCCCAAAACAGTTATTTTAAAAACTAACTGTTCTTGTAGTGAAGGGTAGTTTGAATGAGTTGTATTATTATTTTTTTAAATTTGTATTAAGAGATCAACAGATGGTTCTTAGAAATGTGGAGGATCGTTAGTGTTAAATTTTACTAATAGCTTTCTGTTGGAATTGTTAAAGATTTGAAAAAATCTGCACATTTAAAACCTCTGTAGAAGTATGTTCTTTAAAAAGAAAAATCATCATTTCCAAAAGTACTTTTACTTCTCTATAAGTGAAACATTTGGATTGTAAGACTTACAAGATTTATTACACATATTTTTCCAATGATTATCATAAACATGCAGTTGTGAGCATATATTACTTGTCACTTTTCCAAAATCAGCTTATTTCCCAAACAAGTATATTAAAGACAGAATTGGCTTTGATTACCCTTTTATGAGGTGGAAATCTTGGCCCTGTGATAAATTGCTGGTATGCGGTGTGTACCTGACCTATAAATTTTGTTTGTATTGTAATTTGGTTGGAAGCCTAATTCCAAAGTTGATCTCTGTCTTAAATGTTGATTGATTTGTCATTTTGAACATTGTTTTCTCTTCCAATTCACCAAAAGCTCATCCACAAAATAAGTGGTTTCTTGAGTATTGACTACTTTAAAAGCCATTAATGAGGCCATAAGTTATGTAAATAACCAAACTCCAACATTAGCACAAACTGCTTTTACAATCAATTATGTAAGGGGAAAATGAAAAAGCACCAAATTTACTAAATTTGCATTACTTATTAAGGATGTGGTAACATAATAGTGTCTTTGTGCTTAACCCAAGGTGTTCTAGGTATTTGTATTTATATCAGTAGTGCATCTGCTGGCATCCTCTGATAATGTTGTAGTGTCTATTGTTGCTCATAGAACATGAGAACCAGGGACAAATAATAGATAATTGCTTAGATATTGTATAGTATAGCAATTCTCAACTGCTAGAACTGGGTTTTCTTAGGAAACCTTACTTCGTTTCTTCCCCCCCCCCCCAAATTTATTGCTTTGAGGAAAAAGATAGTTTGGGAATATTTCAGTGCTCTCTATGGATATGGTTTTGAATGATCTTTCTTTGCCTCTGTGAGACCTCAGGGGTCAGACCTGATTATCCTGTCTGGACTACTGGCTAGTTCCTTGAGGAACAGCTAAGTCCCTAACCACTTTGGCATTGTAGCCTCATTTTAATTTCTCCCTTATATGAAAAGTTTTAATTCTTTTCCAGTTGCCTCATTTTTATTAAAAGAGAATCATAGATATTCTAGAGCTATACTATCCAGTATGATAGCCACAAGCTACATATGGCTCTTTCAGTTATTTAAAATTAAATTCAGTTCCTTAGTTGCACTAGTCACACTTCAAATGCTCCATAGCCACATGTGGCTAGGATTACCATATAGGACAATGAGAGAAAAATAATGGACAAGGGTACTCGGCTTAGTCCTTTTTCCCCCCATGAAGGAACACTGAGATGAAGGACATCTTTCTTACCCTCTCAGCCTTTCTGGATCTAGCATACAGTGCACCTGATTGCAGTTGTGTTTTATAGCAGAATATATGTTCTTAAATTTGACTTTGAGGTAAACACCAGGTTAGGGACTTTGGGCTAGGAGATTCTCATACCTGGATTTAATAGTTAAAAATACATGCTTTCTATTTCAACATGACAGTGAAATAAATACTATGATATTTAAGCCATTATATTTAAAGTTTGTCTTGTTCTTTTTCTCCCCAAATGCATTTCACTTTTTTTTACATGACCTTCAGGAAAACTATCATAACATAACATTGTCCCAAAAAACAACAAACAAACAATAATATTGCCAAGTTAAAAGAATCCTTATATGAGTAGTATTTTCAGTTTTTGCATACCCTTTGAAAGGTTATCTGTGCATTTTTCTTAGGGTTATTTCAAGTTCACATTAGTACATAATGAATTATAATTTGCAGATCATGTACAACTTTTGACACTTCTATCTAAATGTTTGAAGGTCTTTGAGAAGAGTAGTAATAACAACATGTATAGAACAGATGAAAAGTACATATTTGTGAAACCTGGAATACAGCAAGATGAAGAATTGGTAAATAAAAATGTACCTATGTGGCTGGTAACTTCATTGTATTATTTGTATTATTATTCTGGCCTTATGCTTTCAAAAGTCAATTTCTGTTGGTCTTGAAAAACATCCTTTGAAGAAACACTTCATAGTGGGTAATTTATGAAACTGAAATTAAGAGTTCCTGAGAGTCTTTAAGACAAGTGTACAGTTCATTTTTTGCAGTTAAGTTCTTAGGCCAATTTTGTATACAAAATAAACAGGATTTTAAAAAGTTATTATTTGGTTAAACACGACTGAATACAATATGTAAACATGTTGAAATGGCTAGATCTTTAATGATATCTTATTAGCCTTTGAAGCTTCTGCTTAGGCTTATGTATTATTTAGTTTTTTGAGTGTTCATTTAGAAGCAGCTCTTTTAATTCTTTTAGTTCTGGAATCTCAGTAGAGATGTTGACAACATTTCAAAATGACATTTAGGAAATAAAAATTGTGTCTCTTTAAATTTTGTAAATATAAACTTATTTTTAAGAACTGATACAGAATAGTGCATAAATAATGAGTGTACAGCTTGATGTATGTTCACAGTGAACACACTCGTGTAACCAACATCTAGATCAAGAACACAACGCTAATACTCATGTGTCTCCACAGTCACCCCCCTCTCCCCTGCCCCCACCCTGACCACCACCACCTTTTCAACAGGGGTAACTGCTATCCTGTCCTTGGGCACTACAGAATAATTTTACCTGTTTTTGAACTTTATTTAAATGGGATCATGGTACGAACTCCTGTGTTTTGCTCCTTTTCCTTAAATGTTTGTTGATGAAATGCATCTGAGTTGTTGAACACAGGAGTTCTTCTTTTCATCGATGTATGTTATGAACATTCTCGTATGTGCCATTGATGTATATGACACCCTACCTAGATATGTAATTGCTGGGTTGTAGTATGTGTGTGCTCAGTACCAAACAGTTTTCCCAGAGTGCACCAGTGTGCGCTTGGCCAGTAGTTCCAGGCTCACCACATCCTCGCCAAACCCTCATATTAACCTTAAAGAACAAGTCTTTTTAACTTTAGGCATTCTGAGCAGAGGGCCTATTTAATATTTGTAAATTCAGTGAAATACTCCCCCCTCCTCTACCTTCTGAACTTTTATAATGTCTGATGGGTGATTGCTGGGCGTAAAGTCTACACTGCTGTGTTTTCTGTTAGAGCTTTGTAACTGACTTAGTCTTTCAACTTTGTTGAAATTGGTTCATTTTAATGAACTGATTGGAACAAAGAAAATATTTTTAAGGTAGTTGATAACCTATTGTGACCCATGTAGGAATCTTTCATCTTTGTCCTAAAACAATAAATGAGTGTCAGAGAGAGAATTCTGTGTGTTGTTTCTTTCTTTTGTAAGCTACAGTGTTCCTCCTTAAGAGCGGTAAATCTGAGCTCCAGCTGTTTCACATGATCTTTTTTTTTTAAGATGTAAAACATCGTAAAAAAATAAACACATTTAAATTAGATGCATTTATAAAATGTGTTATAGCAGAATACTTACTAAAATAAGATTGTACACATGAATAGTGAGATAGGAACCTGAACTTCTAGGTCATTTGTTTTTAGTTCAAAGTAATATTACATAACTCTCTTAGCTCCTGGTTATCTTGTATCTCATAATGATCAAAAGAGCTAAGAGTATGTGTTTATATATCGGTGCTATTTAAAGTTCTCATTCAAATGATGGTTTTCCTGAAGGCATATGTCATGTTTTACTAGGCTGCTCCATATTTATTGGCCCTGTGTTACTTCTGGAGAGACAGAATGGTGTATTAGCTAAGAATGTGGCCCCTCAAGTTAGACTGACTAGTTTGAATCTTGATTCATCATCTTACCAATTGGGAAGTCTTAAATAATACACTTATCTTCTTCACAATGTCCTCATCTGTGAAGTGAGGATAATAACACATTGTTATTATCCTGGACTGGTGATGCAGATTTGTGTCCATACATTACAGCTGTGCAAGACGGATGACACAAATATGCGTTTTTAACGCACGCTTGGTTTCCATACACTATACACGTAACTACGCTTATACATGGAGCGTTTCTCCAAATGGTCCTGCTGATGAATGTTTATAGAAACGTGACCTCACTCCGAGTTAATGATCTGTGATAAATACAGAGAACAAACAGCTCTGTGTTTTCCTCTGTTGCTCTGCTGTGCATTTAGTCAGCATTCAGATTTCAGTCACTACACCCATGACGGAAAGACATAGTTCTTATGGGAAAAAATATCCCACTCCACAAGGGGGAATGTTTCCAGAGGTGTCACATGCTCAAGCACTATTAGGTATTAGGGTCTTTGGTGAGTATTTCCTGAAAATTTCAGTTCACAAAAATAGTTAGTGAATTTGTTATAAATTTTTAAAGAAACACAGTATAAAAGTTGATTTAAATGGTTTAAACCCTGGGAACATGCATTTAAACAATTTAAATGCCTGTCCTCATTGTGATAACTTGTCTCATAAGGTTGCTGTGAGGAATGGAATAATACCTAACAAGTACACAGACGTTTGCAGAATGGGATTTTAAAATTGAGTTACTAAGTAGTCCCTTTATGTTACCATTTTTTTGGAAACTCATTTCTCTAATATCCTTAACTCATTTATTTATATATACATACATATATATATATGGGAGGGAAGAAGAGGGAGATTGCGAGCCTCCAACTTGTATTTGAGAAATTGACTGGTTTAAAATTCTGCAGTGAATCTCTGTTAGGTGATTAGGTTGCCAGGCTACTTACAGAAACAATAATCATAATGTGGCAAAAATAATTAGAAGAACAGCAATAACAGGGAAAGATACTGTTTTGGATGTTGATAGTGTAGTAGTAGTAGATTTAATTAGAGGCTTTGAAAGAGACTTATAGAAATGCTGGGAGAGCCATTCAAAAATCAAAAAATTTTAGAAGGCTAGTGTTGATTCTTTGCTAATTTTGCTTCCAACTTCACCAGTTTTCTTTGCGTTTATGTTGGAGATCTAGTATCACTGACATATTACCCAGTGGTAGTAGTATGTCAGCTACCGATAAGGCTGTTTTTTGACTGATTTGCTAAGATTGGGTAACTAGATGGGAATTTTTTTTTCTTTGGATAACAGAGAGAATGAAAGGAAGAAGATAGTTAAGGAAGATGTGTGGTATTAGTATAAAATAAGCTCTGAATGATCTCGTAGAGAAGCAACAGGGGTGCATCTTCCTGTACTGATAACCACTCCTAGTGACTACCCGTAACAAGATTGGGACAGGGTGGAAGGAGAGAGAGAGAGAAATTATAGTTTATTCATATGTAAAAGGTGCTTATGAATTGGGTTTTTGTATAAACAAGCACTCTCTGACATGTACAACCTTTCTTTCAAAAAGCATTTCAAAATTTAGTAGTATACACTAGGGTTATCATGAAAAGCCCTTTGAGTTTTTTTTTTTTTTTAAAGATTTTATTGGGGAATTGGGGGAGGGGAACAGTGCTGGGGAATCAAGGGAAGGGGAATAGACAAGTTGCTGTCGTTTTGTTCTTCAGTCTAGTTGTGGAGGACGTTGCTTCACTGGCCCAAGCTGGTACCATCATTGCACTCTTCCCAGAGGAGGCAGATCAGTCGCTGGCTTGTGGACAGCCGCTCACGGCGGCTGCTGGCCGCTCACGCTGGCTGCTGGCCGCTCACGCTGGCTGCCGGCTACACATGGTAGCTTATGGCAACCCACTGCAGCAGGGGACTGCAGCCCACGCCGTCGCCGGCGACTCATGGCAGCCCAGCTCCAGGTTGAGCTGTTGTTCAGCATCTTAGCTGTGGAGGGCAGTGTCACTGGCCCTCATATGTGGGATCCGAACCGAGGCCCTCTGGCTTCTCAAGCCAGCTCTTAACCAACGCGCCACTTGGCCGGCCCCCCTTTGAGTTTTTAAACATTTCAACTCTCATTTGAATTCTGGTTATATAAGAGATTACTAAATAGGGGACAATACATTATACACAGTTTATGTGTACCTCTAATACAGCTTTCAGAGATGGAGATTTTCCTACGTTCTCCTTAGATGAGGGCTCTGGGTCTCATACCTTGGAAAATATTGAGATTTACTAGTCACGAAGAAACCAGCTGTTCAATATCAGGAAAGTATTATAATGGTGCTAAAATTTCCATGGCATTAGTTTTTAGTTATTTGTAGACTATTGTGACACTTAAATACATTTTTATTACTTTCACATATTCTTGATTAAAATTAGTTACACAATTCTTTTATTAGGAAGTGGCTGTTTTTGTCTTTGACAAAAAGCTGATTGACAAATATCAAAAATTTGAAAAGGATCAAATCATCGATTCTCTAAAACGAGGAGTCCAACAATTAACTCGACTGCGACACCCTCGACTTCTTACTGTCCAGCATCCTTTAGAAGAATCCAGGTAAATTTTTATAAAAGCTTACTTAAGAGACTTCCTGAACAAATAGTTGAAGATAACTTTCCATATGAAATCTGTTTATGTAGTACACTGTCTGTGAAAAACTCTTATAAACTGAGTGTTGTTGAGTTCCTATGGATTAGTTATTTCCCTAAAATGTATTTGCATATTCTATGTATATGTCTATTTTTGAAATACTGACTAAAGCTTTCTTCACGTTTGTCATGAGTCTGCTTATTCTGTGCTCGGCACTACAATACTCAAACTGGACGATTCAAGAGAAGTATAGAATCCAGGCCCTGCCTGAAAGTAGCTCTCTTTGTGAATTTGCCAGAATTTCTTGTCCCCTTTTCATTGATTCACTGTTTGGGGGTTATTTTTGTGTGTATTCCAGATGCTGCTCTAGACAGTTAACCTTCTGCTATGCCCAGCATGTCAGTCCATAGCCCTCAGTTACTCTACCATCTATTTTCCTCAAGGATGAGCTTAGGAAATGTTGCTGAGAATGACAAGAAAATGAAATTTATGTTGTGTAATCTTAACTGCAGTGCTTTTAATGTGCCACAGATATCCTAGCTACATAAACCTTTTCCACATTACTCATAACCCCTAATTTATTCCTTTCTTCCTTCCTCCTTAGCAGACTGCATTCCCTCTTAATTCAGAAGATATTAACCAAATGGTTTGCCACTTGTGTTGTGTGGACCCTAGGATTTTAAGGATAGGGGAGGAATAGCAAGGTGGAGAAACAGGGTAGGGTTCCAGACTTTCCATTTCTCTTCAAACAGAGGACAGTTTTCCTTTTTCTATTTTATATATTGAATTTCTGCATAATTCTTACTTTGGGATCTTCAATAACCTACTGCCACTACCCCCTACCCCTAAAGGCACAAGATCTTTTCTTTCAGCCTAAAAGAATAAAACCTAATATTTACCATGTGAAAAGCTGTACTAAATGCTTTATATTTGTTTGTTCTCACAATTAGATAAAAGAACTGAGGGACAGAGACATTACTTAAGCCACATAGTTATGATACCCTGATTCTGAGCCCATGTTTGTTGTCCCCCACTGCGCCATGCTGTGCCTACCCAGAAATATGTTCGTATGTCTCTTGTAATATAATTTTTATTGCCCTTTTCATGAATAAACCCAGAAGAAGACTATAGTTGTTGTCTGTGAGGTAGCACTCACTTTTTGTTGTGATCCCTCTGTCCCTAAATTGTGTTTGCCACGCTTGTCCTGAGCTTCCTGACTCCATATTTGTTTGTGCTACTTCTCCGAAGTGTTTACCATCAGGGCCTATAGTGTCACCTATCAGAATGCTACCCGTCTTACTTATTTTAACTTGTATTGACATGTCGTATATTTCAACATTACATTTTAAGTCTCTTAAATGAGTGGAGAAGGATGAATGTTTTATGTTTTTCTCTGTCCCTGCAGCTTCTGTTATGGTGTATTAAATATTATAGAACTAGGGATTTATGGCAATCCTGAAGAAAGACAATTCAGAGATTACTTTAATGCTTTTTATTGTTAGGTTGTATAAATTACAGTAGCATTGATAGAAATAGGAACACTTTAGGGAAGGAAAAAAATAACTTCCAATTTTTAATGAATTAATAAAACAGAGATGACACTGGAATTATCCAAAAGAAATGTGCTATGGGAAGGTAAATCCAGATCAAATCCCAGAGTTGGTGATGTATATGGGGGTAAGTAATACAGAGGAGGTCATTAAAACCATGAAAAAACGAATTTTTCAAGAGCATTAGTAGAAAGCAGAGTACTGAGCACAGAACTTGAATTGCAGAGGGGGAGGAAGAGCTAGGGGAAAAACTGGAGGGACCATTGTCATGTGGCAGGAGAAAAATTGGCAGCATGTCCTGGAACCCAAAGTTGGGAAGAAAGGACCCACTAACACTGGGGACCACCGAATAAAAAAGAAAATAAGGACCCAAAGAATCCGTTACATTTGACTAGTGAGAAGCTGTTCTTAGTATTCAGTAATTTCAGTAGCATGGCAGCTTGGAAGCTAGAAAGCAGATATAAAGGAGCCCAGCAGCAAAGATGTTATGTGAGTAAAGCCCCATAGGAAGAACTCAGAGGAACTTTTAGGAGGATAGTTGAATCACTAAATATTCTGATAAAAGTTCAGGGACATTAGATCATTTGTGTGAGATGAACTTTTTTTTTTTTTTGTAAGAAATTAGGTAATAGTTGAGTAGTGGGTAAAGGGAATGAGAGGCTAAATAAGAGGGCTGTGAAGGAGAAAGATCTTGAGTCTTAAAAAAATAAAAAGAGCAAGGTTAAACTATGCTATGTGACTTTACACTGTGAGTGTATAAAGACTTGGGTTTTTTATTTTTTCCTGCAGCTTATGACGTAAGAAAGTAAAAGAAACCTGTGATGGTTACTACAGGGTTAATAAATAAAGGTTTGCTCAGTAAAAGGTAGTAGATAGAGGTGGTAGTTATTGTTGAGGCTGTTGGGGGAAAGAAAGGAATCAAGTATAGTCAGGACGAATACTTGGAATGTGTTGAATAAAGATACTGGGAAGCTAGATTTGGTGGAGGTGGTAAAAGGGTAGGAGATACGTGGTTAGTACGCCCCTGTGGCTGAGGGAGGTCATCCTTGAGAGGATATAGCCCTTCTGATGTGTGACTGTAATGATGATGAAAATGAATATTCATGAAAGATAAAGCCTTTGAACTTGAAGAATAATCATATGGATGTTGGTGTGACCAAGGGTGATTTTGGAGTCAAGACAGAGGGGAGAAAAAAAAAGTTGCTAAAATAAACAAGTCCTGGGAATCGTAGGACACTGTAGAAAAGACTTAAAGACTATTTGGGCAATTTTCCTCCAGTAGTTCAGCAAATGAAAGTCTCATGTCCACTGTGTTAATGAGCTTAGTGTGGGAGTAGAGAACAAGATAGCATCTCTGATGAGGATGGAGCAGGCAGGACTGTGTGACTCTCTCTCAGCCTGAGCAGTTCTGTCTTTATAAGTGGGCTCAAGGCAAAAGGAAAGTTACTCAGGTGTTGTAGACAGATGAAACAGCAAAGGCCATACTTACCATTATACTCGTCGTTACTGTCCACGCTCAGAGGCTTGGTATAGTTTTGTTACTACAGTACCTTATAGTTCTCCATCGCCAGAGCCTAAGCCCACGGCATAACATTGAGTCTCAGACACTCGGTAATTTTAATAGCAATAATAAGCATTTGTTGTTTACATCCTAGTCATTGTACTGTGTACTTTTACATGCGTTATCTCATTTGGTCTTCACAATGACCCTTCAAGGTGGTCTTTTATCACCGTTTTACAGATGAGCAAAGCGAGGCTCAGAGCCATAGTGTCCAGCATGTCAAGGAATAGGGATGCTGGAACTTGAAGTTGGGTATTTGTTTGTCTTCAGAGTCTGAGCTCTTGATGATTACTTTATAAAGCTGTTGAATGTTAATGTCTTAACATTTTCTGAATTTCTAAATATTCTTATACATCAAAGAGCAGTAATTTAAAAAATTTTAAATCATGATATCTTTCAAAGTGATATATAAAACAGATAAAGCTGCTGTGATTGAACTTGGTTTTGGGGACCTGGAGTTATTCCCTGTCCCTCTTCCTGACCCCTCTTGTTCCAGAGGCATCTGTGGGAAGTCTACAGGTTCCTTTGAGATATTCTGAAAATTATATCCTTACAAATAAGGATAATATCATAGGCATTATGTAACAGTATTTTAAGTTAATTCATTTGTTTTCCATAAAGAATATCAGTCATTCAGAGAACACAGTTGAAATAATGTTTTATTCCCTGACCTTTTAAATTTTAAAAAATGTATCACAACTGTTAAAAACACTTTGTTTAAAAGGCTGTTTAGTGATTTATCCAGTGTAATTCATATACAAAGCTTCCTGAGTTCTGTTTAAGTGTGTTATGTTAATGCTGAAAATAAATCTAAAAGTTTACCTTCTTCTTGATAGTTTAATAGGACCACTTATATTTTATGTATATTTGATTTTGATAATATAGAAAAAATGATAGTAAATAACTTTTTTTTCTTTTTAAACAGGGATTGCTTGGCATTTTGTACAGAACCAGTTTTTGCTAGTTTAGCCAATGTTTTAGGTAACTGGGAAAATCTACCTTCCTCTGTGTCTCCAGACATTAAGGATTATAAACTTTATGATGTAGAAACCAAATATGGTTTGCTTCAGGTATGTATTTTTATTCATCTCGTGAAAGAGTTTTTTCCTTCAAAATTGTTTCAAAATTGTTTTGGGCTATTTCAAACTTATTAGCTATATAAACTACTTGATGTAGTTTGGATCTTTTTAGTGATTTAAAAATTATTTCTGTGTTCTAGAATTTTTCTGTAGTCTATTTCTAGGCTTAAATTATATTTCAATTGTATGAAACAAAGTATTCATACAATTGGTAACCTTTGGAGAAAGTCACTGTTAACTAGTGGATGGCGCAGTTCCTTTTTGATTTTTTTTGACTTGTGAATGTATTTCATAAACAAAACATTAAATTGAAATGATAAAGTACTTAATAAAAAATTATATCTTTAAAGAAATTATTTATTAGGTATAAGGAGCCTTTTCATATATGTTCACTTTTTCTGATTTTCTTTTCCCTGCATAGCAAAATATTTTCAACTTTATATAGAGTCATTTATACAGTAGATTCTTACTTCCTTGGGGACAGAGATCATTTATTTATTTATTTATTATTTTTATTTCTTCATTTTTTTTTAAGGGACTGCCCACATGACGCAGGCACTGCTCTCAGGCCCCATCACTTGCCCCTGTGGCCATAGCTGGGCAAGGTTACTAGGTGATTTGTAGTCTCAATAAGTAGAGAATTCTTTTTGTTGTTGTTGTTTTTTAAAGATTTTTATTGGGGAATTGGGGGATGGGGACAGACAAGTTGCTGTCCTTTTGTTCTTCAGTCTAGTTGTGGAGGACGTTGCTTCACTGGCACAAGTTGGCACCATCATTGCGCTCTTCCCGGGAGAGGCAGATCAGTTGATGGCTTCTTTTTTTTTTTTTTTTTTTTTAATTGGGGGAATTGGGGGAATGGGAACAGTGCTGGGGAATTGGGGGAAGGGGAACAGACAAGTTGCTGTCCTTTTGTTCTTCAGTCTAGTTGTGGAGGACGTTGCTTCACTGGCACAAGTTGGCACCATCATTGCGCTCTTCCCAGGTGAGGCAGATCAGTCGCCGGCTTCTGGACGGCCGCTCACTGCGGCTGCTGGCTGCTGGCTACATACGGTAGCCCATGGCAACCCACTGCCACAGGGACTGCAGCCTACGCCGTCGCCGGCGACTCATGGCAGCCCAGCTCCAGGTTGAGCTGTTGTTCAGCATCTTAGCTGTGGAGGTCAGTGTCACTGGCCCTCATATGTGGGATCCGAACCGGGGCCCTCTGGCATCCCAAGCGAGTTCTTAACCATCGCGCCACTCGGCCGGCCCAGTTGATGGCTTCTTGACGGCAGCTCACGGTGACTGCTGGCCGCTCACGCTGGCTGCTGGCTACACATGGTAGCCCATGGCAACCCACTGCAGCAGGGGCTGCAGCCCACGCCATCGCCGGGCAGTGTCACTGGCCCTCATATGTGGGATCCAAACCGGGGCCCTCTGGCATCCCAAGCCAGTTCTTAACTAATGCGCCACTTGGCCGGCCCAAATCATTTATTTTTTAATAGCTTTATTAAGGTATAATTAATTGCCATACAATAAACATCACATATTTGAAACACACAGCTTTATAAGTTTATAAATTATCACCACAGTCAAAATAATGCACATATCCATGACCCCCCCAGAGTTTCCTCATACCTGTTATAGTCTCTCCCCCCTGCTCTTTGCTATGTTCCTATCTGTCGTCCTAGGAAACCACTGACCTGCTTTCTGTCACTATGTATTGGTTTGTATTTTCTAGAATTTTATAAATGGAATCATACCCTATGTACTCCTTTTTGTCCTGGCTTCTTTTAATCAACTGAATTATTTTGAGATTCATCCATGTTATTCTGTGTATCAGTACTTTTTATTGCTGAAAAGTAACCCATTGTATGCATAGACCTTAGTTTGTTTATCCATTTACCTGTTGATGGTCATTTGGCTTATTTCCAGTTTTTGACTATTGCAAATAAAGCTGCTATAAAAGTTCATGTACAAGTTTTTGTATGGACATATACTTTCATTTCTTCTGGTTAAATACCTAGGAGTGAAATGACAAACTGTTTTCCAAAGCGGTAGTACCATTTTCCATTCCCACCGTAGTATATGAGAGTTCCTTTTTTTTTCAGTCTTTGCCATAATGTGGTATGGTGTTGGTCTTTTCAATTTTAGCCATTCTAGTAGATGTGCAGTGGTATCTTGGAGTTTTAATTTGCATTTCCCTGATGAATAATGATGTTGCACACCTTTTCATATGCTTTTTTGCCATCTAAATATCTTTGTTGGTGAAATGTCTGTTCAGATCTTTTGCCCACTTTTTGAATGGGTCATTTGTTTTCCATTATTGAGTTTTGAGATTTCTCTGTACTTGTGTATTGTGATCACAAGTCCTTTCTCAGATACATCATTTACAAATATTTTTCCCAAGTCTGTGGCTTACCTTATTCTCTTAACAGTATGTATTTTTTAATTGTGGTAAAATATATATAACATAAATTTGACTCTTAACCATTTTTAAGTGTACAGGTCAGTGGCATAAAATACATTCACAATGTTGGCTACCATCACCACCACCCATCTCAGAACTCATTCACCTTGCAAAACTGAAGCTGTACCCACTGAACACTAACTCCCATACACCCTTTTCCATTCCCCAGTCTCTGGAAACCACTATTCTGCTTTCTGTCTCTATGAACCGGACTACTTTAGGCACCTCATATGAATGGAATGATACAGTATTTTTCCTTTTGTGATTGGTTTATTTCACTTAGCATAATGTTCTCAAGGTTCATCCATGTTGTAGTATGTGTCAGAATTTCTGTTCTTTTTAAGGCTGAATATTATTTCATTGTATTTACAACATTATATTAGTTCATCATTTGTGGATGGTCAGTTGGGTTGTTTCTACTTTTTGGCTATTTTGAGTAATACTGCTATGAACATGAGTGGACAAATATCTCTTCGAGACTCGGCGTTCAATTCTTTTGGGGATATACCCAGAAGTAGAATTGCTGGATCATATGGTAATTCTATTTTTAATTTTTTGAGGAACCAGCATACTGTTTTCCACAGTGGCTGCACCATTTTACAGTTCTACCAGTAATGCAGAAGGGCTCTAATTTTTCCACATCCTCACCACCATTTGTTATTTTCTGGTTTTTGATAGTAGCCACCCTAATGGGAGAGTTGTGGTTTTGGTTTGCATTTGCTTAATGGTTAGTGAATTCGAGCATCTTTTCATATATGTACTGGCCATACATATAACCTCTTTGGAGAACTGTCTATTCAAGTCATTTGCCCATTTTTGAAGCAAGATTGTTTGGTGTTTGGTTGTTGGGTTGTAGGAGTCCTTTGTATATTCTAGATGGATGTTAACCTCTTATCAGATACATGAGTTGCAAATGTTTTTTCCTTTTCTGTTGATAATTGTCCTTTTGATGCAGTTTTTTATTTTGATATATGCAATTTATATACACGTGTGCATATATATATATATATATATATATATATATATATGTTTTGTTGTTGTTGTTTTTCTTAGCTCGGCCATCCTGCTACCTATTGGTAGTGCAGTGGCAGCTCAGCTTAGGCCCATGTGGGAATCGAACTGGCAACCTTGTTGCTCAGAGCTCACACTCTTGAGCAAGCTCTTAACTAACTGAGCCACTTTCTTTTGTTGCCTGTGTGTTTAGTGTTATAGCCAAGAAATCATGGGGCTTTCCCTTATGTTTTCTTCTAAGAATTTTATAGTTTTAGGTCTTATGTTTAAGTCTTTGATCCATTTTGAATTAATTTTTATATATGATTTAAGGTAAGGGTCCAACTTCATTCTTTTGCTTGTGGACATACAATTTTCCAAGCATCCATTGTTGAAATTTCTGTTCTTTCCCCATTGATCTCTCTTGATACCTTTGTTGAAAACCATTTGACAATATATAGTAAAGTTTGTTTCTGGGTTTCCTGTTCTGTTCCACTGGTCTAAATGTCTGTCTTTCTGTCAGTACTATACTGGAGCTTTGTAGTAAGCATCTGAACATTTTTTCCCCTCAACCATACGATGGTTCCAAAGATTAACTGAGATAATTAGATAAAAGCACCTACCAAATTGGTGCCTGAAATGTACAATAAACATGAATAAAGTTTTTTTTCTTATAAAGTTAGGAAAAGTTTTCTAGGCTTGAAAAACCTTGCATATTTCATGAATTATATTTAAGAAATAAGCATTTTTAAAAATGTGAATCTTAAATAAATTTCATGTTCACATGTGTTAGAACTAGATAGAGAACCTTCATTTGAAAAATATTATTAAACTTCTAGTTGCTTATTGTACTAGTCACTGAGGATAAATATTCAGGCAATTAGAAGTAGCAGGTTGTATCGCAGGGAGTGGTGAAAAATGAAAATGAAAAGATAGAAAAAGGCCTTGTTGGTGATGGGGAACACTGAAGAATTTTAAACAGGCTAATGACCTGCTCTAATGTACGTTTTAGGGCTACCATTCTAGAGAATGGAATTTTGCGGTAGTGAAAACATATGGGAAACAATCCCTATTACATATGGGGTTATTTTCCAGATCAAATGTGTAAATTTATAAGTGCTTAGCATAGTGCTTACATGCAAAAAATAGAATGAAAGTTTTTTTGAAAAGTCTCAAAGTCATAGGAAGGACTAGAGGTACAGAGTGAAGTTATGTGGAGGTAGAATGGACCGTAGTGACGGACTGTGTGGATGGGAGTTGAGTGGTGTGGAGTCTGATGGGATTCCCGCATTTATAGATATACTGTCATTTGTAATAATTCACCAGCTGGGACCTATACAGGTGCAGTAACTTGCTCAAAGATGCAAGGCCAGTAAGTGATGAAGTGGGGACAGGAATCCAAATATCTTTTAACATAGTACTCTTTACACTCTTTTACTGTTGACTTGCCTTCGTATTGAAAACTATAAGGGATGTTTTTAGAGAATTTATTCTCATATTTGTTCATTAAGCAAATATTTATTGGTCAGCTTTATGTCTGGCACAGTCCTGGGTGCTGAAGTTATGGCAGTGAACAAAACAGACACAGATTCCTGCCTTTTGGACTTATAGTCTCATGGGGGAAGAAAGACAATAAGTAAATAGATAGGGGATTTGCACTTTTGATTGGGGTAGTCAGGAAATGTATCACTGAAAAGGAGGATATTTGAATAAAGACCGAGTAAAGCAAGCCATGTAGACACCTGAGGAGAGAATGATCTTGGCAGAGAGAACAGCAAGTGCAAGGTCCTTGAGACAGACTCATACATGACATGTTCAAGGAACAGTGAAATACCTGGAGTGGTGCAGAACAGCAAACAAGAAGATGAGCAGTGGGAGATAAGGTCTTAATGAGCGGTTAGGTCCTGTTAGGCCCTCAAGGCCAGAGAACTACTTTGGATTTTACTCTGAGAGAAAGGAAAAACCTTTGGAAGGTTTGAGCAAAAAAGTGACATCGTCTGGGTAATGTTTTAAAGGAATTACTCTAGCTGCTGTATTGAGAATTCAACTATGTAGCAAAGTAAGAGCAGAAAGCAAAGAGGTGAGGTAGATGGCGCTAACAGTGATACAGGCCAGAGATGATCATGGTCCAGGGTAGAGAAAGTGCCTAAGACAGGATCCAATTCTAAGTATATTTTGATAGTGGTGTTATTGGGATTTGTGGATGGATATGCTATACAAGAAAAATAAAAAAATAGAATGATGCAAGATGACTCAGGTTTTTTTGCCAAACAACTGGAAAAAATGAAGTGGCCATTAACTTACATGGGAAAGACTACAGGAGGAAAGAATTTAATTGGTAGGGAAGTTCAGCTTTAGATTCTTCTAAGATCGAGGTGCTTATAAAACTCAAGGGCAGAGAAGTTAAGAAGGCAGCCAGATATTTAATTAATTCTAGACTTGAGAACAGAGGCCCAAGCTGGAGGTGTTTGGGAGTAAGAAACATATAGATGGTAGTCAAAGCTAGGAGAACACTGAGAAAGAGCAGTTGGAAAACTCAGAGGTCCACACATTGAGTCCAGGAGGTGAGGGTCGGGGGAGGGACCAGCAAAATCAACCAGTGACCAGTGGGGTGGGAGGAAAATCAGGGAGATTGGTGTCCTGGAAGTCAGAGAGCATTAATTAGTTTGCCAAAATCTCCTGGAAACAGAAATCCAGTCTTCATTTTTAGTTAGTAAATCACATGGTAATCTTAAACAAATATAAAAATTACCAAATACTAATCCAATGTGAGAATGAGTGAGCAGCAGTTAGTGTTTGAAAACTGAGCTCAATACTATTTAGAAATACGCAATTTCAATGTGAAGTGTAAGTATGTAGAAATATTAAGAATTAGAAGCCGACAGACAAAGGCATCTCTGATATTTACTATTTGTAACTCAGAAACCAAAGTTTCCCTCACTTTTCAAACTCAGGAGCTGAATGAATTTGGGTGGCAGAGTGCTTTTATATTTTCTTTTGCTTATGTGCATATAGGAAAGAACTTAATGAATAGTTGTACTCTGGTTTTATCACTGGGTTTTTCCTGCTTAGGCTTTGATTGTCCTGGCAACTGAGAGTATCTATACTTTCGCGTTTATGATGAAGTTTGTTACCTGACATGTAAAAAATCTTTTATTGGGAGAAGCAGCAATTATGATTTATGAGACATTTTATTATTGTAATTGAAATGAGTTTAATGTAAAAATGACTCCCCCCCCCCCACTTACAGGTTTCTGAAGGATTGTCATTTTTGCATAGCAGTGTGAAAATGGTTCATGGAAATGTTACACCTGAAAATATAATTTTGAATAAAAGTGGAGCCTGGAAAATAATGGGCTTTGATTTTTGTGTATCATCAACCAATCCTTCTGAACAAGAGGTAATGAAGGTTTTAGTGTTCTAATTTTTAAGACTGTGGAAATTGGTGATTGCACCTGGAATAGAGAATTTATAGGCTTCATAAATGTGAAGAAATAGTCTGCGTGGTACAATGGTATGTTTAAATGTATAGAAAATTTCTGATGTTCATTGTCCCTAAGAGTATTCTTCAGCTCATTAATTCCACAGTGGTTAATATTACTTGAGAAAAGGATGCAAGAATTAAATTTGAGAACTATTGTGTTAAGTGGTTTTTTTTTCCCCCCTCAGCATGTCAAATACACAGACAAACATTGTGAATCTCGAGAAGCATTTCCCCAACTTACTGGCCACAGAATCTTCTTTAGGGAGCATGATAACAACAATAAAACACTAATTGATAATAATAGCTAACAAGTGAGGTATAGAAATAATGCAGATGAGTAAATTAGGTTCATAGAATAGGATCACCTGCCTCACTTTAGGCAGGTGGTAAGCGGTAGAGCTAGGATTTGAATCCAGCCTTTCTGGTTTCAGAGCACCTGTTACTTGGTGATTATGATTCTTGCCTATTTATACTTAGGAAACCACTGCAATATTTCAGACTTTTACTATATGTAAGGGACCTTGTTAAAGGGACCTTGTTTTGTTCTGAGATTGATTTGTAATTTAAATAAACATTTTTAAGGGAAGCAGAAAGAATTTGTATTGGTGAGTATATATTATGGGTCAGACACTGTGCTAGGTCTGTTTTCCATACATTCGTTTAATCTTATAACAACCTCTTGAGCATATTAACTAAATCATGTAGCTAATTAAAGAACAAGATTTCAAACAGTAATCTATTTGAGCCTATAAAACTTTAAGGCTGTGTATCATAACATAGCAGACCTTTCCATATTCATATTGTATCTTATAGTGATAATTTGCCTAGAGTTCCAGTAATCTCAAAGTCATGAGAGTTCTTATTCTTATCTCTCAATTTGTTGCATGCATTTTCCAGAATTGGGGATTTGGGAATTTTAGAATTCAAAGTGGTGATAACATTTTTACTTGACTGAGTATGAGTTTAAAACCAGATTGTTGCTACTAAATAGTGGTTTGCTTTAATTTGAAATATTTAATCTGTGTAATCTTCTGTTTTATAGCCAAAGTTTCCTTGTAAAGAATGGGACCCAAATTTACCATCATTGTGTCTTCCAAATCCTGAATATTTGGCTCCTGAATACATACTTTCTGTGAGCTGTGAAACAGCCAGTGACATGTACTCTTTAGGAACTGTCATTTATGCTGTATTTAACAAAGGGAAACCTATATTTGAAGTTAACAAGCAAGATATTTACAAGAGTTTCAGTAGGCAGTTGGATCAGGTATTTCCCTTTAAATATTTGCTTGTATTCAAATGTATTAAATGTTTCTTTATTTTTTTCTACAGTGTGTTCAGAAAATTCTCTAAAATTAGATGAGTGTCTCCTATTTTAAGTTTTGCATAAAATCAACTTAAAAGTAATTCTATAATTAATGAGGATTAAAGTTTGTTACTACAACTTCAATCATGGCATTTATTTACTAGCGTAAATATTGAAATGATCTAAAATACTGGACATTTTGTTTTAGGAATAAGAAATTTCAGGTATTAAAAATAAGGTTTTTAATTATCTTGCAATAGTAGAATTAGCAATTTGTTTTAATCAAAAAAAGATTTTTGAGTAAATTTCAAAAATTACTTAAATGGAATATTTATAATATAAATTCATATGTTTTTAAATATTTTATATTCATATGTAGTATCATCTTTCTTTTGAATAGTTGAGTCGTTTAGGATCCAGTTCACTCACAAATATACCTGAGGAAGTCCGTGAACACGTAAAACTACTGTTAAATGTAACTCCAACTGTAAGACCAGATGCGGATCAGATGACAAAGGTGAGGATACATGAATCCCTGACGTAGGTGGAGGGACAAAAAAAGTTATAGTAGATTCAGTGCTTCTGAAACAAGATTTAGTCAGATACAGTCCCCAGAAAGATCTATATTCTTGAATATATTAAATATTCATCTTCTTTTAATCTTAAACAGTAAAATAATTTATATAATTGCTCTGATATAAAATTAAGATTTCAAATAAACAGGAGTCCTAACAGTACCGTTGGGGATACAGAAATTTCTGCTCACCCCAAGATTTCAGAGTCTTCTAATTCACTCATAAGCATGGGTTTTAATCGATAAATGGTATTCCTTATTCCTTCAAGGTATTTTACTTAATCTTTCAATATTTTACTAGTTATGTAAAGAAAATGTTACTCCAGCCAACTCAAAAGGTACTGATTCTGAAAATTTGAACTTAAAACGAAAAATAATTTATTCTTTATTCTGACTTTTATAATTAGAACTTTTATGAAGTGGTCCTTAGCATTTTGCTAAATGTTACGAATATTTTTTCACCACAGTGTAACAGTTTCAGACATGAGAAGTACTTTAATATTTACCAAAATAATTATATTTCCCTGTTTTCAGATTCCCTTCTTTGATGATGTTGGTGCAGTAACACTGCAGTATTTTGATACCTTATTCCAAAGAGATAATCTTCAAAAATCACAGTTTTTCAAAGGACTGCCAAAGGTTCTACCAAAACTGCCCAAGGTTTGTTGTTCATCAATCTCTTACTATCGTCAGGATTTTAGAATTTTAAAGTTTACTTTGACTTACTGTGATAACCCTTCCAAAGAAATAAATATAACTTTTGCCTTAGGTGCATAATGACTATAAAAGACCGCAGACTGAAGCCAAAAGTTTAGTAGATCTTTTTTTCCATCGTCTAAAAATAATTAAATAGGATTAAAAATAAATTAGAAGGATACTACCTATGCAATGGCAGCACGTGGACATTAAATATCAGAAGAGAAGTCCGTAAGCTGACATTGTGGAGGTCACTTTCTCATCAGCAATTAAGGGAATACTTCTGTATTGATACTAGCCTCTCCAATTCCTTTAACTCTCCATCTCTGGCTTATTAAATCATGAGTGTAATACAGCCTAAAAAGTCTTTGTGAATGGTAAAGATAAGCCACTGGTTGGGAAACTAATAATTCCTGGTTACAAAAGTATCTCCACTGTTTAATCTATCAGATTCACTGATTATGTATTGCTTGTGTAGCCCTTTACTAGATGCTTTGGAGGATAAAGAGGAAACATATAATTTGACCTAGTTCTCAAGGCCCTTACAGTAAGTGTAGACAGGGTCAACATGCATGAAACAACAGTTAACAATACAGGACATGGTTTAAATTGTGTGGTATGAATCATAAATAATGAAGGAATTAAGAGGGAAAACATTGATGAAGACTAATTAGGGAAGATTTCCTAAAGACAAGGTGACTGTATGTCCCCTTTTATCTGTGACATTCCCAAGTTATGCCTTTTGTCCTGGCAGAATTAACAATAGCACCCCATTTTACTCTTAGAAGTGTCCCAGTTTCAACCGTAAGTTATATGGTCACCTGACCCAAAGGGATTGGAGATTTTAGACTGTAAATTCAATGTTAATACTAAAGATTTGAAATTAAGTTTAGTTTTATGAAAACGTTTTTGCCTTTCAGCGTGTCATTGTGCAGAGAATTTTGCCTTGTTTGACTTCAGAATTTGTAAACCCTGACATGGTACCTTTTGTTTTGCCCAATGTTCTACTGATTGCTGAAGAATGCACCAAAGAAGAATATATCAAATTAATTCTACCTGACCTTGGCCCTGTCTTTAAACAGCAGGAGCCAATCCAGGTATGTATATAGATATTTTTTCCTATTTATCTGCGGTTGTTCAGTGATGTTAGTCAATGATGTCTATCACTGAAAACAAAAGGAATCGGTATGCGACTTTTTAAAAATGGAGGTAAGTATAAGAGACTTTTCTTTCCCATCAGTCAGCTATTTTGCATATGCTTAAGTAACCCATTCCTACAATTACAATTGACTTTACCAAGTAAATGTCTGCAGCTCTTCATAAGTTATCTCAGAAAATTAACTGTAATGAGATTTTGCATGTGTTGTACTGTTCCCATTGGCCTTATTGAAAGTTATAGGTTTGGGGAAAAAATATTTACTTTTCTCCTACATTTTAAATTATTTCCTTTTATTTTGTTTTTGTTTGTTTTGTTTTTCAGGGCCTTTCATATGTAGATGGTTTATGCCAGTATTTTCTCTTTATTCTATTGTTAATGAATAGTTTTACCAGAAGAGGGAAAATGCTTACAGCACCCAGAACTAATATGTGTGTTTATTGTAAATGAAAAACATAATTAGTTTCTGATGTAGACTCTATTACAATATCTATTTGCCAGATTCAAGATAGTCTTGGATTTAAGAACAGCAGGGTCATATACCTGGGTTGGAATCTGGCCTTCTTTATCTCCTTACCAAAAGTGTGGCTTGAACAAGTCATTACTCTTGTAAAGCTTCCATTTCACTCATTTCCAAGATGGCACATAGTAAATATTACTTGTTCCTACTACTACATAGCAATAGCTTATTCATAAACTATCAGCTACCTGATGTCATGGTTTTATGACAGGCTGTTTGCATCCCTTCCCTTGAGAGGAGGGGAACAGATAGAAGTGGTGTTAAGACAAGTATTCCTATGGCTAAAGAAAGGGCAGGTGAGGGAACTGTAGGCCTTGAAGCAAAATTACCCAAACGTGGTCAGGAGGTCAAGAACGAGTCACATGCTCACTAAGCAGTGCATCAGCTGAAATAGTATCCGAAGGAGCCCATCATCTGAATGAGGACCGTTCTTTGGTACTCTTTTTTTCTCCCTAGTAGTCCAGCTGAAAATTCCTTCTGAATTTTTTTAACTGAGACTTGGCAAAACCAAATATTCTGCTCGAGCAGGAGCAGTTTGTTCTTCATAGTTTAGGTATGTGGTGGCAGCCAGGTCAAAGAACGAACGAGCAGGGACAATTGAAAATGTTTGTCTAGGTTTTTTCCTGACAGTCCTTTTCATTTCTCTGCCTTTTCTTCTCTTGAACCTTCATAGAAGCCGAGTGATGGCATTTACTTCTTCGGGCCATCTGACTTTGCTGCCCTCAGACTTCAATTTTCTGTTAGCCAATAGCTTTCCAGTAGTTGGTACTTGTGGGCGAGTGATGTATTACTGCAGATAAGTGAAAGTTAGGAAATTAGTCTTTATTTGAATGTTTAAGCTGAGAGCAGATGTTAAATATTGTGCTTCCAGAAATGTAAGAGACTTGATTTGTATGTTTTTGTCTTCCATGCCCTCAGGCTAGCAACATGGTGAGTGTCAAAATATCTGACTTATTCTTTAGAAGATACTTTAAATTTTGGCATATATGAAATCTGATAAAGATTCTGGACTTTAATACATTGTTCCCTTTTTCTACACAGATTTTGTTAATTTTTCTACAAAAAATGGATTTGCTACTAACCAAAACTCCTCCTGATGAGATAAAGAACAGTGTTCTCCCAATGGTTTACAGAGCATTAGAGGCTCCTTCCATTCAGATCCAGGTAGATTGTTTGATTTTCCCTTTAATGGTGATTTTGATTTTTTCTTTAAGGTAAAAGAAAAAAGTTAAAGTACATTTTGGGTTTGAGTCATAAAATCTTTTATATAAAACTCATTCGTATATATTAATCCATTGAGTTCTATTACTACACTGTTACTACATTGTACCCACTCTTAACTAATTTAAAGAATCAATTGACAGATACCTGTATTAATGAAGAACAATGATTCATTGCTTTTATTTATCAGAAATATACTATACTGGAAGATTTGATTTGTTATAGTTTGGATTATTATATACTTCTTAAATGAGTGATTAACATATGAATAAAAATGTCAAAGATATGATATATGTTCCTTTTTCTTATGAAAACATTAAGTAGGTTTTTCCCATATATATAATTTTCTTTCATGCTTGGTGAGTTAATCTTCTATTTAGAAATGTTGATCCTTTTGCATTGAAGTTAATTTGTGTAGCAGGTAGATAGGAAAGCAGACAGTAATTTAGTGTGAGCATTCCTAATGCATTTATAGTTAAGCTTTTGTGTCACAAAGGTGATGTTAAAACATGTACTTTGCCAAACTTTTAGTTTTGTAGCTTTGCTATTAAAACTTTGGTTCTAGGGCTTTTCTGTCTGGAAAAAAATTTGGATCGCTATTAAAAGCACAATTTAGATTAGTTTTCTTTTTTTACTTTGGAAAATAAATACTTATGTTAACATCTCGTTGTAAAAAATGGCTTCATATTTAAAAGTTTATAGTTCCTTTGCTATTATAGAAATTCTGTACTATAGTACAGATTATAGTAATGAAAAATGTAGAATTTTAGTTTTTAAAAGTTATTAACCAAAGTTTCCTTTTTAATGTGAACCCAAGACCACATGTATAAGGTCACTTTCTTGACTCATTTCAGTCTTTGTCTGCTGAGTTCTTTTGTTTATTCAAAGACGTGAGATTGGTCTTAAAATGGTTTTCCTTATAAAGGTCGTGCCTTCTCAAAAGTGAGGATGTGCTGCCTTTGTCCGAATGGCAAGGGATGAGTGTTGAAGGTGTGCTTCTGCTTTCAGCCCTTTCCAAAGGAGTTGTCTGTTACAGATTTTGAAACGTTCCCAGAGGCCCTGTGTAGCCAATCAGGTTTCATATTCAGTGAGATTAGGAAGGAGAGGGAAGGTTAGGTGAGATGAAAGGCCATTTTTCTTTCTAAGGGGATTGGTTTTGCCAATAAGTGTCAGCCAGGATTTTATGGAAATAGTTAATATATAATTCAGATTGATGTGTGCAACTTTGCAGAGTTATAGAAACCAACATTTCTGATATTATTCAACATAAGTGTTTAGGCACCAGTTCAACTAACTGGTATCAGCATTGCTTGGTGAGAATCTGATAAAGTATGTGTGTCCAAGCTTTGGGAGAATCCTAGAGCAAGAACAAGAAAAAAATCTTCCTCAAGCTTCATGCAGGTAGACGGCTAGAAAGTAACTTCTGAAATTCATTTTTCGAGTGATATTTTTAAAGTAGAATTTTGGATATATAACCATGGTCACCCCAATATATTTTAATATATAAAAAAAAGAAGTTTAGATATATTTAAGAGGCTAGAGAGAGTTTAGAACAACATTTGGAAAAGTACAAAGATGGTTTACAAAAGTTATGACCCTAAGAGGCATTAGTAGAAATATATCTATGAGCCAGATTTTTATATTATTTACCTTTAAAATTAAACATAGCAGCTATGTTCATTCTCCCCTCCCCACCACCAATTGTAGAGAAAGTATAAAATAGTCAGAAGTTCCTGAGCATGTGCTAATTGGACTTCCTTAAGTTTTTGTTTGTTTCAGCCTCATGTTCTCTGGTTCTTCATCTTATCTCCTCCTAGGGCTTCCCCTCCTTTTGCTAAGTGATTTAATCATAATACAACATTTGCTTCTTTGTAACCTAATGCTAGATTGTACAGCATTGTTTGTCCTCTCTCTCTCTCTCTCTCTCTCTCTCTCTCTCTCTCTCTCTATCTATCTATCTCTCTATCTCTCTATCTCTCATCAATTAATGACTGATCTTTCTGAAGGAGGTACCCTCTGGTAGCAGGAGCACAGTAGCTCACAGATTACTCACCCCCCATTGTTCATCTCCTCTCCCATCTGTGGAAAATGATCCCTTAAATGTAGCTTGTATTTTTTTTTAAGATTTTTATTAAAATATAGCTAACATACAATATTATATTAGTTTCAGGTATACACCATAGTTATTCAAATTTACATACCTCAAGAAGTGAGCCCCGTAAGTCCAGCAACATCTGACACTGTGCCACGCTATCACAATGTTATTGACTATGTTCCCCATGCTGTACATTACATCCCCTGACTTAACTTGTTTTATGCCTGGAAATTGTAGCTTGTTTTTCTTTATCCTCAGTGATGCCACCCACTTAATTATTATAGTTCTGAGTGGATATAACTCTCTTATACCTGCCTTTTGAAAATCTGGGAATAAATTAAAATAAATAAAATTCTTTCCAGTATTTTGATAACAGATTCTTACTAGTTAATTCATTTCTGTCTGCTAACTACAAATGAATGTCTGTCTTTAAGTTTACCACCTACTGTCAAGAACTCCTTCCCTGATACATATTTATGCTTCCATTTTCTTCAGTAATCCTTTCTCCTTTGCTTTGCTACCAGGATCAGTCTGTCCTTATAAGATATCTGAGATGTGTCTTCTTCAGCCAGTGAAGCTCTCAGCCGTTTTTTATTCTTTTCTTATTTAATCCCCCTAATCTCAGTCATCCTCCCTTTCTTTGTTATCCTCATTCAGACTTCCTTGTTCCAGTAATTCACACTGTGGCATGGCACTAGGTCAACAAGAAGGTTTCAAATAACTTTTTCCGGTTTCTGAGTTATACTTGCTTAAGTTTCAGAATTTGGAAGTACTTAAAAACATAAAGAAAATTAAAATCCCTCTCAGAGATGCCCACAGTTAACATTTGCAGGGACATCCTTGCAAGTCTTTTTTCCTAAGCCTGTAGACAGACACATGTACATAAACATTATAAAAATTGGAATTATGTAATAGTCTTACTGTTTTTCCCTAGCATTATTAAGCAATCTTAAAATACATTTTTAGAAATGTTTGTGTTATATTCCATCCTATGGGTATATGATGTAACGGCTAAGAAATCCCTTATTTAAGAGGAATAGTTTTACATAAATGTGGTCTTAATTTTTCCTCATTATGAAAGATAGCAAAACTTGTGTTCCTAAGTTTCCTATTTTTTTTTTAAAATAAATGAAGAATTATGTTAGGGAAAGAAATTAGGAATGCAACTAGGGAATTTGGTACAATATGCTAGTTTTATGACCTAGCATGATTTCTTCTGAGCCTGTTTCCTCATCTGTACAATTGAAAACTGATAAAAAGCTATTCTTTCAAATAGTTGTTGAAAGGATCAATTGATATAACATAAAAAGAAGTTTATTTCAAACTATAAGAAAAATTAGCCATGCAAATGCAAAATGTTTTTTAATAAAAGAGAGAAAGGGTGAGAATCTTTCCCGAAGATTGACCCAATTTATTTTCTTAATAGGAACTCTGTCTAAACATCATTCCAACCTTTGCAAATCTTATAGACTACCCCTCCATGAAAAATGCTTTGATACCAAGAATTAAAAACGCATGTCTACAAACATCTTCCCTTGCTGTAAGTAACTGCATATTAATTTTTGTTTTTCTTTCACTTCTCATTGGTTTAAATGATTTTCTTATTGTTTAACAACCCTTTATAATTTGTTCATATATTTTGTCTTGGCTATAGATATGTAACATATATATAGTGCTATGAAAGTGTGCAATAGCTATATGGTTTCCCCTGATATATAATTTTACAATAGTGTATCCCTGATCTTCCTGTCCCCTAACTTTGAGTACTTCAATAAAAAATTTGAGTAATTTCTTTTTCTTAATTCTTTCCTGCCTTAATTTACAATTTATTTTGTTGGTAGTTTTAAAATAATCGTGAGAGTTTAACTTGGTGTATAAGCCTAAAAACTTTTTGAAGGCTTCCTTAAGCTGCCTTTATTTTTAGTCATGTGTCTCTAATTTTTTAAAATTATTTGTCTACTTTCAAAAAAAGTAAAGGACACAATAAAACAATAAGTTAATAAGAATATAAATGGGGGGAAATAGTTGTACTCAAAAATCTAGGGTAAGGGTAGTTGCTTCCTTTGAATACAGAATTTTAATACTAAGTTACTTGGTAGTCAAGGAGGTAGAATAAATAACGTTCTCAGTATCTCATATTGGAGGCAAAAATGTTCCCAACCTTTTCTCTAACACTAACTAAATCATAAGAATTATCTCATTGATATTTCTTTCTAGAAGTAACATTGAATACTCTCCTCAAATAGCAGTTTTAGAAAAAGAGGGAGAAATGTCCCAACTTCCCCTGATCAATTCTTACATTGATGTTTGATAATGGGCACATTATTAAATTTGCATTTTGTAAAGATATTTCTTGGGAGAGCTCATCAATCTTTTTTTGGTGAAATGTGAATTTAAATAAAAATAAATATTTGTAGCTTAATAGAATTATAAGCAAAAGCAATTTAAATGTCATGATTTTCCTTTATAGTTATCTAATCCATTTTAGTTCATGTTTTGTTTTTTTGTGAGAAAGGCCAGTCTGACATGGGAAACAACACCAAAGAAGGAAAAAATATGATTATTTACTGAAATCAACATGTATCAAATGAAGTCAAGAAACTAAGTTCTTATTCTGACTCTGCTACTGATTATCCCTGTGCCCTTGGGCAAGTCGCTATACCTCTTTGAGTCTGTTTCTTCTTCAGCATTAAAAGAATTTGAAATGTAGTCCATTTCTCTGAAATTTTCTTATTTTATGATTAAATTTTCAAAATAGGGGGTAGTAATATACAATTTAAAATTCAGTTTTCAAAATACCCTTTCAAAAGTCACATAAGTCATACTATAGTCCACGGCAGCATACATTTTGTCCAAGTAGATGTTCTGCTTCAATTGAAAGTATGTTTGCAGAGTGAGGTGGGAGGCACAGAAACTTCCATGATCTGTATCATTGGCCAGATGTTATATCTGTTTGTAAGATACCAACTGAGTCCTTAAAGGCACACTGTATACAAGGAGTTACAATGAATGTAATATTTATTATAAAACACTAACTCTGGAATGGATTTGCATTTTATATACCACATTCAGTGCTCCTTACCTTCAGAGGCACAAATGTGAATCCTGAATTCCATTCATAGACATAGACCTCTAAGGTTTAAACATTCTAACTAGGAAATTCCAGAAATATGATTCATGAGTTAGAATTGTAAATAAAGAAAAAGTAAATTCTATGCAGAGTTAGGTAAAATGCTCCAAGAGTTCTTTCTATTTTTTCATGACTGACATGATGATATTTTGTAAATCATAAAAGAAAGTACAATTAAACTAGTATTTGTAGTTTCTTTTTGTGTGTATATATATATGACCCGTAAATATATATATAAAGAATGCAGCGATTCCTTTTATAGGACTGATTCTAAGAGTAAGTTAAGCCTTTAGATATCTTTTTGGGTGTATAGTATCCCTTGTGTTTGCATTTCAGAAAATATTTCCTCTTTCTTGCAGAAATACAGTGGGTTTTAAACTAAATTGTTTTCTGCTTTTCTTTGAAAACTGGAGTTTTATTGATATTATGTTCCTGGCTCAAAGTATTTTATCTTAATGAATTCCAGCCAAAAAAAATAGAGTGTGAAATATTTATCAAAATAGTCAAATGAATATAGGTAAAATTTTGATAAAGGAGCTCCTACATATCACATTTTAGTAACTGTATTAAAGATATATTTAGAAACAGAAAACTATGTAGGACAAATATAAATACTCTTCACATGTTGTTAAAACATTTTGTTTAAGAATGAATTGAACCTGAGTTAGAGAAAAGTACTGGAAGCCCAGTAAAATTGATTATTTGGTGGGAGAATGTAGATCTTTTTATAATTCAGATGTCCCTAAAGAAATGTCCTTGGTAAACATATAGTAAAGCTTCTCAAGTCCTAATCGCTTTATTTAAAATGATACAAATTGAAGTCATTCCTTACCTTTACTGTACTAATAAAAGCATCATAAATTCTTTCTGAAACAAGTCAGGAAAATTAGTATATATGTGAATTTCCTATATTAATAAATAATGAGAGCTTTTAAACCTTTTATTCTTGAGATTTTAACATCTATATGAAGATTAAATTTATACTTAAATATTTTGTTCTAGAATGCAAAGACTTTAAATGACTAATGCAATTTACCTCTCTTAATAGGTTCGTGTAAATTCATTAGTGTGCTTAGGAAAGATTTTGGAATACTTGGATAAGTGGTTTGTACTTGATGATATCCTGCCCTTCTTACAACAGATTCCATCCAAGGAACCTGCAGTCCTCATGGGAATTTTAGGTAGCCAAAAACTTAATGTCCTTTGATGCTACTTTATTGTTTACAGTCATGTAGATAAATTTTCCAACCTATAAGACCATTGTACTCTCTCCTTTCATGTATATAGCATTTAGTAATTCAAGAATGATGAAATAAATGCCATGATATAACTTTTCTCTGTGTTAATTTTAGCAGAAGCAGTAGAGCCTTGACATTTACAAAGGAATAAGACATTTGGCAATCCTAGCTTCACAAATATCATGAAAGCATATAGTTTTCCCTGTAAAATGGTACCAAATAAGAGAGGCAAACAAAGCTACTTGAAATGCTGACATCAGTCTTAATAGTAATACCTAATGCTTATTTGGTACTCAATTTGTAAGAAGTATGATGATAAGTATTTTCTCTACATTATCTTATTTTGTCTTCTCCAAAATTCAATGTATAGGTACTATTATTTCTGTTTACAGTAAGCAAACTGAGGCTCTGAGAGGTAAAGTATAAGTTATTCAAGATTATACAATTGATACGTGGTAGAATTGGTTTTTAATTAAGATGTGTTAAAATCTTAACCAGCATTTTTCTCTAAGTGATGTGCTCATGAAGCATATTAGCCTTACAGCACAGTCTGTTCTATCAGTGTAATTACTAAGTACTCTGTCAAGAAACTCTGAAATTGTTTACAAATAGTTAAAGCTATGAAACTCCAATCTGGAAATGCTGGGGTCTGCAGACATAGCTATAGGATCACAAAAATGTTAAAACATTCACTTTTTACCAAATTTGAAGTTCTTTGTTAATTTTAAAGAAAACTATACTACTCAGCCATGAATTTTCAACACATACTATAGTACCCGGTCTATAGAAAGCCCTCAGTAAATATTTGCAGGAATGGTCAGCAAGTAGTTTATTGTGGAACTCTGGAGACGTAGAACTCTTAGGACATGGCATGAAACTTTTGGGCTCAAAGAAATGAGTCTGTTTGAGAAGGAGCTTGGCATAGTGGAAAGAGCCCTCACCCCAGTCATCTATCAAATAAGGATAAAAATAATGTCATTATAAATGAAGTCCTGTGAGAATTCAGTGAGACCGAAGAGCAAGGAATGAGCCTAGTGCACAGCAAATGAACATTTAATAGGTTCTCAATAAAGTTATTCTTTGAGTATATATGTAAAGTGTACATTAACAGAATAATAGGAGACGGTGTGTTGTAAAGTTATGGATTATATTAAAAATGCTTACAACACAAAAGCGTTCAGAGAATGAGGAGCGCATGTGCTCAGTTGACCAATGAAGGCTTTGTGGAACAGACAAAACAAGCAGGGTCTTGGAGGTTGAGTAAATAGGTGAGACAATAGGAAAGGATTGTGGCGAGGAATGAAATTATTGTTTCAAACGTGTTGAGTCTAATTGGTTAAAGAAATGAATAAAAGTATAGGACTTACACATTTCGAGGTAGATGTCTCCAGTTGAGTGAGAGAGCTGACATATATACTTAAGTGTTTTCAGGGTAGAGGGCATTCTGTACCCTTTCTGCTGCACTGTTGGAACTGGATCTAGTTCTGGTAGGCCTTCAGTGCTATACTACTATTAAGTGTGCTCTTACACCAAAAGAATACAGGATAAATATGTCAAGGTACTTAAACTGATGATAAAGCTGAAATCATTCTGATCCATATATGAGCGTCCTTGTTCTAAGCACTGATAAGGAAAAATTGGTAACTATACTGATTATCTGATTTCATGTAGATAACCTGTTTTCCTAATTTCTGTTAACTTGTGGCATTGAGTTATAAAATTTGTCTCATTCTTTTCTATCAGGCATTTACAAATGTACTTTTACTCATAAGAAGTTGGGAATCACCAAAGAGCAGCTGGCTGGAAAAGTATTGCCTCATCTGATTCCCCTGAGTATTGAAAATAATCTGAATCTCAATCAGGTAGGAGAAGTTTTGGGCTTTATTTAGTTTGTTCAGCTTACTGTTTCCTGGCATTAAATATGTAAATATATCACATATAATTTTGCTAAAATGGAAAAACAAGTACATCCCAGAGTTAAATGAAGAAAGTGGTGGGTTCGAAGCAAGGAGCATGTGAGGTAGAAGGATGTATTATTGAAGGCCTCACTGAGAGATAGTAAATGAGCAGAATGTTGAAAGATGTGTAGGATTTGGGGCTGGGAAGTTGCCATGAATAAAGAAATATTAATGTAATGTGTCTGGGGTGTGTATTCATTATTTATTGCTACATAGCAAATCACCACAAACTTGATGTTAAAACAACACGCAGTTATTATCTCTCAGTTTCTGTGGGCCAGCCAAGCCAGGCCCTGGATTCTCTGCTGAGTTTTCTCACAGTCCTGCAGTCAAAGGCTGGTCTGATCTGAAGGCTCAGCTGGTGGAAGGAGCAGCTTCTAAGCTCATCACATGGTTGTTGGCAGGATTCAGTTCCCTTTGGGCTGTTGGTCTGAGGGCCTCGGTTCCTAGCTCTCTTGTTAGCTGCATACCACTGTCAGTTCCTTGCTTCATGGGCCTCTCCAACATGGCCACTTAATTCATCAAAGTCGGAAAGAGAGAATCGCTAGAAAGATGGATATTGCAGTCTCTTACAATGCAATCAAAGAAATGACATCCCATTAACTTTTCTGTATTCTGTTGATTACATGCATGTCACAGGTCTTGCTCATGCTCAAAGATAGGGGATTACACAAAGGCACGAGCAGCAGAATGAGGAGATAGTTGGGAACCGTTTTAGTCTTCTCCCACAGGGAATGAAGGATCAATTTGATGGCGAGATACCTACAATACAGCATGGAAGTAGTGGGAGAAAGATAAATACAGACTAGAATAGGTAGATTTTAAATGCCTGTATGATTTAGATATTTAAACTTTCAAAGATGTGGTAAATGAGCAAAGGAGTAATGTGTTCAAAGATTATAAAATTCTTTCTCTGCATGCCTCTATCACTAGATATCACAGCTATGTACTTACGTGCCTGCCTCTCCTAGAAGCCTTATTCTTCATTATGTCTCCAGCACCTAGTGCAGTGCCAGAAACAAAAGTATTTATTTAATTGGGAGAAAATTTGAGGTACAGAGTAATGACAAGGCATTTTGTTCACCATAGAAGTGGTGCTTGATGATGTGTAATGGAAAGGACTGGGAAGGGTTGCTGTTGAACTGAGAGTGTCAAAAATGGATAGGCAGGCAAGATTTGGAATTAAGGACTGGAAGGGAATTACAGCAATGAAGGAAGCAAAAAGCCGGGAAGTAGGCAGGAGAGCTAGGGCATAGGGGAGAGTGCTGAGTGAAGGGAGTCTTGGAATTAGAGACATTTATGAAATTAATCAGATCCAAAAGTACACTGAAGTGGTAGGGTAGGCCTCTGAAAGTTTGTGTTTCTAGATTTCAGTTTCGGGCTTGACAGTTTCTTCATATCTTTCACGGCAGGGTTGAGGTTACAGTTGACAAAAAGGGGCAGTGGATATTGGGGAAGAACAGGATGATAACATGCCCAAAGTAGTCTTCAATTTCTGCTCTTAGTTCTTATATTCATGATCTAGGGTTTTAAAAATATTTCCAAGTGCTTATTTCAGGATATGTAATTCCATTTGAAATATGGTGTTAGTTTTCTTCAGCTCTGTGGTTGATTTTTTAGAGACCTATTTTCATCAACAGAAACACTCTGATTCATATCTTCTGGTATTTTACAGTAGTCAGCATAGTCTACCTTACAGTGAGTGGTCTGCTTTCTCACCACATCATGGACAGGGTTCCTAATTCAAAACTGCCCTCTTCTGTCAGTTCTGATTTAAAACAATCTAAGTATATTACACATAATGTGAAAAAAGATAAAGTAAGTTAGGAAAAGACCTTTTTAGCAATTGATTAGAAAACAGCAAATTCCACACAGCAATCAAAATACAGTCACAAGTTGAGTTGGGGAAGGGTTCCAAAGACCACCCCCAGATTCAGGGATTCACTAGGACTCACAGGCCTTAGCATATAGTTGTATTCATGGATGTGATTTCTTATGGTGAAGGGATATAAAGCAAAATCAGCAAAAGGCGAAGACGCACAGGGAAAGTCAGGGTGAAACCAGGCCCAAGCTCCCAGGGTCGTCATCTGGTGGAGTCAAACAGAGTGACTTAATTTCCCCGGCAATGAGTTGTGACAGCATGTATGAAATGTTGCCAGCCAGGGAAGCTCTTCAGAGACTCAGTGCCCTGAGTTTTTACTGAGGCTGGTCAAGTTTCACCCCCTGCCTGTCATGTACTCGAATTCCAGACTCCCAGAAGGGAAGCAGGTGTTCAGCATAACACATATTCTTTGTACAGCTTAGGCACAGTGAGCCACGGTCATCAGTGAGTGGTGGGAACTCTGAGTTCCTGGATACCAGCCAAGGAACAACCTGCAGGCAGGCCTTTCCGGGGACATTAGTTCAGGTTTGTGTTAACTCTTCTGCACCAGCTGCGTACCACAGTGTGGACGCACCTCACAAGCATGGTGTTGAGCAAGTGAAGCCAGACCCGGAGGAGGATCTGTTGAATGATCCCATTTGTGTAAAGCACAAAACAGTCAAAACTACACGGCTAGAAGTCAGAAGAGTGTTCACTCATTATGAGGGCGTGAGAAGGGTCTGGAAGAGGGCAGAAGAAAGCTGGGGTGCTGCCAGTGTTCTATTTCTTCATGTGGCTACGGGTTAAATGCAGTTTGTGAGAATTTTTTGAGATGTGCACTTAGAGGTATACTTCTCTGTTAGTATGTTATACTTCATTTAAAGTTTTAAAAACTCGTCAGCAGAGTCAGTCATGGTGAGGCAGTAGGCTTTTTGGTACCCTCTTGGTAAGATAAAGGATAAACGGATGGTAGAGCCTGGTGAGAGGCAGCGTAATGTAGGAGAAAAGAGCACAGCTTTGGAGACAGACAGTATGAATTCTACTTCTGCCATGGAAGTTATTTAGTATCTGAGAAAAAGCTGCTTTCTCTTGCTGAAGCTGTCTCCTCATTTATAAAATAGAAGTATTAATAAGCCGACTTTGAAGAGTTGAGAGGATTAATGAAACAATGTCTGTATAAGCACCCAGCACAAAGATGTAGTTGTAAGATTTGGGGAGGAGAAGAAAGCAGTTTCTAGATTTTTCCTATAATATATGGTATTACTCAAATAAATTGTTTATGATGGTCCTGAAGGGTCATAAGAGAGGTTTAACCAAAGCGTAACCTACGTTAAGACATAGTGTTAAAAAAAAGACAGTGTTAGATGCACTTTATGAACTTTAATTATTTGAATGTTAGATTATGTACATTTAATGCTTCTACTAACTTTTTAGAAAACAAGGTTTATTTTGGCCAAATATTTTTATAATAATCTGAATAAACTGTAATTTTTATTCATTATTAAGTAGATTGCTTCCAGATATGCACATATTCAGATGGTCAATTTTGGATTATTCTAGGAAAATCAATATGTAGAAACCGCTGGGGATGAATTCATATAAGACCCCTGAATAATAACTGTTAGACAACTGTGGATACAAAAGTCATTAAGACATGTTTTCTGTAACTTAAAAGTCTCATCGACTGTATTAGCACCATACTAAGTTACTGTAAAAGCTTATTATGATACGCTGAGTTTAAATATACTGTTCTCGTGACATCAGTGTTATGAGTGGGTCATATTCTGGTAATAATAGAGAATATTATGATTAACTCACTGAATCACCTTATTAGATGACATTTGTTGCTAACTTCAAACATTATAACCATATCAATTTCTTGTCATACCAGTTCAATTCTTTCATTTCCGTCATAAAAGAGATGCTTAATAGATTGGAGTGTGAACATAAGACTAAACTGGAGCAGCTTCATATAATGCAAGAACAGCAGAAGTAAGTAGGTTGCGTATGAATTGCACATGGTCTAGGAGTGAGATTAAACTTATGTCATAGTGGAATTTCTGGAACAGACTAGGAAAATTGATGGATTTCGACTTGACTTACATATAAAACATTTAAAATTTTTTTCTAGCATATTAAGTTGAACTGAGTTCAAATAGAACATTGTTGAAAAACTAATGTCATTTCTGAGTACAAAAGTATAAAAGGTATATAATCTTAGCATTTTTCTCTACATAAAAAATATTCTGTTTCTGAGAAAATCTCTTGGCACCATTAGCCACTGGCTTTGTAAATTTAGTGCTGATCACCAATACATTTTTTAGGTCTGTAAAACCCTGGTGTTTTGATTTCTCCCTTTTTCTTTTCTCAAACTCTAGAGTCATTTACAGAGCATTAATTTCATATGTAGTACCACAACATCCACCTGTGTGTCATTTTTTTTTTTAAGGGAGGATTTTCTAAATTATTTTCCAAATACCTGTATTCCAGGGAAGAAGGGAAAGGTGAAATTATTCACTGGAGAGTGCCAGTTTATTAAAATCAAATCTTCACTATATTTGTAGTCTTTGCCCCAGAAAAAACACACGGTTTTAGGATACCTGTTAAAATCTAATCCTAAACCAAAAGACATCTGAAAGTTAGTAAAATTTATATCAGTCATGAGCATGGTCCCCAAATAGAAACTTTAGCTTCTGCCCCAGTGTAAGATGAAGGTCCATGGAAGTAAATACTCAAGGTGTAAAATTATGTGGAATAATAGCCTTTTGTATGCTCTGAGTATTCTGCGATATATATGTTTATGATGTTTGGTGGATTGACTATATTCATAGAAACACTGAAAGGTAATTTTTTAAGAATTTTAACATCCAGTATTTATACTTGAGGTATAAATGAACCTTCTCTTTTTATTCTTCCTATCTAAATCCTCCATTTTTTTTCAAGGCATAGATCTGGCCCACATCACAGTGATTATAGCATTTGTTGTTTGAGTCAGAGATTCTAAACTTTTCCCCATATTCTCTCTTCTCTCTCAGTGAGGTATAAGCTTTCTGATGGTAAGAACCACACTTGCCTGCTTTTATGACACCCTTAGCAAATTTTCCAGTAAATCTCAAATATTGAGTTAAAAAAAAAAAAAGACTTGTACAAATGTTAATTTTGGGGGCAAGCAATTATTAATATTAGTAAATAGTGAAAAAATTTAAGACTTCTTAAAGTATCAAGTTGCAGTTTGTTTAGGTTCTAATAAATTCCATGTGAATGAACTATTTTTAGTATGAGTATTTTAAAAATATGCATTTTTTTTATTGCTTTGTCATAATTCAACTCTCCGCAGATCTTTGGACATAGGAAACCAAATGAATCCTTCTGAGGAGACAAAAGTTACAAATGTTGGGTCTCAGGTAATAATAATTTAGATTATTTAATTTTTTGGAAAAGGTACTTGACAGTGGACTTGATTTGAGGGGATTTTTTGATCCTTAAGCAGTAAAATGTCATTCAAGCGGTTGACTTTTTTCATTCAGCAGATTGACAAAGTCTTTAACAACATTGGAGCAGACTTTCTGACTGGTAATGAACCAGAAAATAAAGAGGATGGGTTACAGAATAAACATAAAAGGGTAAGTTTCTTTACTGTTCCGTTAGTACTTTTATATTATAGGACTTCCTGGAAATCACAGACTTTTGCTGGGAAATACTGTTTAGCATCTTAATAAGAAACATTCTTTAATTTTCTTTATGAAATTTGAAAGTTATCAATGGAACATGACTTGACCTTAGTTGAGAATAAACATGCTTAAGATTTTTAGTTCTTTATTACTTAGCCACATGGTAACATTTCTAGACTGTCTGACTCCTTTGTCTTTTCTGCTGTACTTTGTCAGTCACACTCCTTGATAAATTCCAGTCTCTTTTCTGCTTCTGATTTTGAATAATAAACTATCAAGTTTTACTTTCTAATTGAAATATTGGTTAGCATCCAATATAAAAAATGTCAGTTTTGAATTTCTGCCGAGGGCAATTTCTGCCGAGGGCCTTCATTCAACAAATAAAAGTACTTGTATGTGTAAAGCCAGGGAGCTACTGGACATTGTGGTTTACAAAATTGTAAGAGAACATACTGTGAGTTTGTAGTGTAGCAAGGTTGATAAAAGAGAAAGACAAACGTCAAATTTGATGCAGCCATTAGCAGTGAAAGAAGCTGTTTGCTTCTTCCTTAGCTTTTTCGTGAGTTCCTAAAATATTTTTGGAGTGAGATAGACTAGAGTGGAACAGGAACCTTCTGATTGTATAAAATAAAAACACCTAATCATGTTCTCATTGTCTGGAAGAACGTGATTCTAATGACTGGTTTTAAAATAGTAATTGTTTTCATAGTGGAAGTATTTGAGCACAGATCCTGAGTTTCTACCCAAAGTTAAATCTTATAACAGTCTGAAAAATAATATACCTGTGGCAATCACCAACACTGGAGTAGTTTGCAAACTATGTAGTATTGTCAAACGTACCAAGTTATACTTTACAAAAAATGAAATCTTCTGTCTTACAAATGCAATTATGAAGTTACTAGTTGATTATTTTGGTTTGTTTTAAGGTATCACTTACACTTGAAGAAAAACAAAAATTAGCAAAAGAACAGGAGCAGGCACAGAAATTGAAAAGCCAGCAGCCTCTTAAACCTCAAGTGCACACGCCCGTTGCTCCAGTCAAACAGGTCAGAGTTAATGCCTTCTTTTCAAGCATGCCTCTTAAGGACTAAGGTAGTGCAGACCGCAGTCTGTCTCCTAGTGTTTGTATAAAAATGTACTTCAAAGCATACTTTAATGTGCAGTTTCTGAGAAGTATGGGTATAAAGGATTTCCCAGCAACTCCTCAATAGCCCACCTGATGTGGAATGTTTCGTAATAGTGCTTGTTACCAATAAAGAGGAAGCTCGATGAACAGGAGGGTTATAAAAAAATATATTAGTTTCATAGTTCCAATTCAACTCTATTCCCTTTGGAATGATCAGGAATATAGTATTCATACATTTATGTCTTTTTGAGCAAAAAGTAATTTTCAAATTTTGGCTTTTCAGTTATAGTTGGGTTTGTAACTTGGTTTAGGAATAGTTTTTATGTGTCCTACCCAGTATTTATTTCCTGCTACGTTCCAGGTACTGTTCTAGGTGCTGGTACTAAGGCAGCGATTGAGGGCCCTGCTTGTAGAGAATTTACATTCTTACTGGTTTCCCAAATAACTTTTTCTTAAAAGCTTTCTTTAAATTATTTTTTGTTATCTCTTAGTCACTAAAAATCTGAGAAAATCTTTGTGCACCAGGAGGCAAAATCAAGAATATTTTGTAGTTATGTTAAAATAAAAAAATTTTTACAAAATTTTGATATAGTTCAAAATATAAGACTAGTAAGAGTATCATTTTTTGTAATACAGATTTACTAATGAGAAGAACGCAGTTCTGTTTTGGGGGAGGTAGGGGATACAGCATTTCTTTAACGAGTTCAAAATGAGTGTTCTTTATCATCAAATTGATTACAAATGTTCAACGGTAAACACATACTAAAATATGTATTGGCAGCTGGATTTGGCCTGTAGGCCATGAATTGCCAACTTGGTGTAGACTGTTGAGCTTAACTTTAACTTGTCCTTTATAATATAACGTATCAAATGTTTACTAATTATAAAGTCATTTGGAATTCTTGGAGATAAAGTAATTCCCTCATATTTTTCAGACCAAGGACTTGACAGACACGTTGATGGATAATATGTCGTCTTTGACCAGCCTTTCTGTTAGTACCCCTAAAGTTTCTGCTTCGAGTACCTTCACTTCTGTTCCTTCCATGGGCCTTGGCATGATGTTTTCTACCCCAATCGATAACACAAAGAGGAACATGACAAATGGCCTAAACGCTAACATGGGCTTTCAGACTTCAGGATTCAGCGTGCCGGTGAATACAAACCAGAACTTCTTCAGTGGTCCAAGCACGCCTGGCGTGACCACGATGGCACTGGGCACACCTTCCACTCTGCCAAACTTCAATGCTGTGAGTGTTCCTCCTGCTGGCACAAAGCCGACTCAACAGAGACCCACAGATATGTCTGCTCTTAATAATCTCTTTGGCCCTCAGAAACCCAAAGTTAGCATGAACCAGTTATCACAACAGAAACCCAATCAGTGGCTTAATCAGTTTGTACCTCCTCAAGGGTCTCCTGGTATGAGCAGCTCAGTGATGGGAACACAGATGAACATGATAGGACAACCTGCCTTTGGTATGCAGGCTAATCCTTTCTTTAACCCACAGAACTTTGCACAGCCACCAACCACTATGACTAACAGCAGCTCAGCTAGCAATGATTTAAAAGATCTTTTTGGGTGAGATGTCTTGCTCCTATTTTTGAAGGATTACTTCAATTTTAATCATGGGTGAGCTGCTTTCCATCTTTATATAGTTGGTTTGGAGGAACTACTTCTATGGGAGAAGTGAATGGTTCTAAGAAAACACCTGTTTCCATGCCACCATAGTAGTTGTGTGGACTCCTAACAGTTGAGTTTTTTAAAGCATTGAGGATTTTTTTTCCTCTTACCAACTTCACTTCAGGTTTTTAAAAGACCAACCCTTACCAATCTCAAAGAGAAAAAAAGATACTTGAGTATCTTGAAAAGCAGAATTTTTTAATCAAATGTTTATTTTGGCTTGTAAATCTTAGTGTTATTTAAAACATTGAGTTGATGGTCATTGCAAGTTTTATCTATTAAATACTACATGGTACAGTCTGCCTTCACAAGTCATTAGTCTTCATTTTAATATGTGAAAAATCTTGATGCTGTATTGATTTGTTTGCATTTAGCATAGCTGAGTGAGTAAGTGATAAACATAATGACAAAAAAATCAGGTCACTTGCTTTTTCCAATCTTATTTACTTCTCAGGTGAACTAATGTTTAGTACTGAGAAAGTAATTGCAAATGTTTAGACTGAGCAAATAATACAAAAATTTAATGTTGATTTCATTGGTTCAAACTAAAGGCATTATTAACCATCTTAAATGCAAACTAATCATTGTAAATTATATTTTAGCATGGTCTGCCTCAAATAGTAATGTATTTTTCTGCATTGTATATATTTAGATTCACTTTTTTCCTACGGTGTCACAGACAGAAGAGGTGTGTACTGATTTGTACAGATACTTGACAAAGCCCTCTGATGTGATTTCCCTGACTACTGCCTTCATATTTCATTTTGATTTCAAAATTCTGAGGTTGCAGCATATACGAATTGCATTTTCAAAAGGAGATTTGTAAGAATTAAACTATATTTAATGAGTAACCTTTTGAGATTTCTGCTGTTTTGTTTCAAATATAATAAACTTTACTTCTATACAAATGAGCAGTTGTATCTTCTGGCTACTAAGAGATTAATTTTGAGCTTACCATGATAAAGTCTGACCTCATCAATTACTGCAACTGAAGTTTACTTCTTTTCTAGGAATTTCAGAAACCTTTTGTTTGAACATTATAATTAGCTATTTTTAGGAAGGAAAGAAATTCTAATAGGAAACATGCTTTATTTTTCAAAGCCTTTGATATTTTTCTTTGGTTTGCTCATTATTCATTCAATCACGGATGGAGCCTTGTGCTATAAATGTCATTTGTATTTTGTTAAGTTATATTCCACTGTTATGATAACTTGAAAGTGATCATTCAGAGAATTGTATATATATTATAGTTGCCGCCATAGTTTGCGGTTTTTAAATATCTGAAACCAGCAGTTATTTAAAATAAATCATATGTAGTTTAGTGTGCTAATACTAAACTTATTCATTGAAATACATATATACATACTAAATATATCATTGACTATACAGTACTTGATTATAAAATGTAATTTGCTAATAATGTTGCTGGCAGCATTCAGTAAGAGGATACTTAAAAGTCAGCTGTACGTCTGGTTTCTGTATGAGCTGTACTTTGTTACATGGTTTTAAAAAAAGGACAAAAAGGAATGCTGAAGATACTTATCCAAAAAATGAGACGCACTAGGAAGATAAAGTGTTTCTGTCAAGTACATTCACACCTTGACCAGATTGTTTTGTTTGTAACGCAACATTAATGTCTCTCTAGAGAAAAGTTTACATAGGGAATAAAATTGCTTAATGCTAATGAATTTTTCTTTGTAACAATTCAGTGGTCACTGTTTATTAGGAAATTGCTTTTTATTTTGTAAAATAACTTAGCGTGTTGAATTTCTAATTAGAAAGAAAGCTTAATGTAACAACATATAATTTGAACTTCTAAATATAAAAGTAGGTTATTTGAAAAAATATAATATGTAATTCTTAGGTAATTTTCACATCTTGAAATTTGCTCATTGAGGTAATGGTGCTACATTTTTAGTAATTTTTTTCTTATACTTCTTTTCTACTTTCTTGAAGGTATTTCTATCGATTGAACTGTTATCATTGCCTTTTTCTGTTGAGAAATTGCCTCTAAAAAATAGTTCTATTTTTAGGTTCGTATTTCTATGTGGACAAAATTTTGAAAGCACTAGATCACCTTAAAATTATTTCAGATATTGACAGCATTTTAAGTCCCTTGTGCTTAGGAGTAAGAAAATGGGTAGTTTAAAAAGCATCTGTAGTCACAAATTACAAGAACGATTCCCTTTTATTTGAATTGGTTCTTCTAATGCTAAAGTGTTGGACATATGTAGAGGATGTATAAAAGGAAATGGAAATAGACTGTGTACTTGATTGGGTTGGATTTGTTTGTTTTTACTTTGGAATGCTTATAACCCTTCTTTTCACCTGAATAAGTTAAGGAAGTAGGTTTTTGTTACGTTGGTGTTTTTGTTTTTGTTTTTAACCTGTAAAATACCTCATGTGGTTGCTTTTACATATTAAAGGAAAATGGTATATGTGAAAGTACCTATAGTAAGCACAGAGTATGCACCGAATAAATTTTAGCTTTGATGAATAAAACTTTCCATATGAAGTTGTCATTTCATGAATTACTTCGTGATCTACTAGTCTTGAAATAATTTTAGAGCAAAACGAATCTGAAAGTATTCAAACTACTATATAGGAATTTAAAAGATTATCTATAGTCAGTGACTTTCAAACTGTAACTGGAACACTCAGTAAGAAATATATCTTATAATGCAAACCAGTATAAAATATTGGGTTGTCAGAAAAGTCAAGACGTATTTTTTCTGTGTTTTTCGTTGCAAAAATGCATCATGACTTTTCCGACAACCCAATATATACCTGAAACAAGTTTCAGAAAATGTCTCTAGTAAATTAGTGTAGTCTATTATTTTTTATTCTATCCTGTTCGTTAAAACAAACAAAAAACCCTGGTTGCAATTTCTAAAAGGATTTCATGCTGTAGTTTGAATAAAACTGAAATAAATAATTGAGCCCTATCTTTCTCCAAGCAGATGTAGAAACAGGCCCAGAGACTTACATGGCCTAACCCAAGGGCAGAGCCAGGAACAGAGAAGCTAGGTTGTTTCCTAATCTGCAGTCCAAGCTCTCTGCCGTGTTGCATCCTTTATATCCTTTATTGTATGAATTCTTGAGTTGCTTCTGTTGAGACTGTTTTATGTAGCAAGTATACGTTGAATACGTATTGGGTACCATACATATATCTATACTGGAAAAATTGACATTGAAGAGAGAAATGACCGAACAAATGTTTAGTCAAAGTCAGCCTCTGGGCTGCTGCTCTGAATTGTGGGTGAGGATGACTGTGGGGGACGGGTTAGCAGTGCTTGCAGTGTACGCCACAATTAATGCATATAACCTTGAGGAGAGGGGCACATTGCAAAAAGGGAGTTTGTTGGATACTAGAAACTTTCTAGCCAAAGCAGCCCAGTTGCTTCAGCTACTCAGGGAGGATTTAGCTGGAGTGCAAGCCACATATATAATTGAACATTTTCTGGGAACCACATTAAAAAGAAAAACAGGCAAAATTCATTTTAATAATATTTTATTTATCGGAATAGAGCCAAAATATTTCAGCATGGAATTGATATTAGATTTAATGAGATATTTTACATCCTTTTTTGTACCTAGTCTTTGAGATCCAGTATATATTTTACACTTAGCACATCTCAGTTCAGGCTAGTCACATTTTGTTTGTTTGTTTGTTTAAGATTTTATTGGGAAATTGGAGGAGGGAACAGACAAGTTGATGTCCTTTTGTTCTTCAGTCTAGTTGTGGAGGACGTCGCTTCACTGGCCCATGTTGGTATTATCATTGCGCTCTTCCTGGGTGAGGCAGTTGCTCGCCGGNGCTTCACTGGCCCATGTTGGTATTATCATTGCGCTCTTCCTGGGTGAGGCAGTTGCTCGCCGGCCATTGGACGGCCGCTCACAGCGACTCACGGCAGCTATCGCCAGCTGCTGGCCACTCACGGTAGCTCACGGCAGCCCACTGCAGTCTACACTGTCGCTGGTGACTCACGGCAGCCCAGCTCCAGATCGAGCTGTTGTTCACCATCTTAGCTGTAGAGGACGCAGCATCACTGGCCCATGTGGGATCCGAACCAGCGGCCCTGCTGCTCAGAGCTCACGCTCCCAAGCCAACTCTTAACTAAGGAGCCACTCGACCGGCCCCCAGGCTAGTCACATTTCAAGTACTCAGTAGCCACATGCGACCAGTAGCTGCTGTATTAGAAACTCATAGTGTAGGCATATGTGGAAACCAAGTAGCCAAAGAGTGAACTGTGGCAGTTACCGACTTACTGTCTCCCAGCTCCAAATCCATCCTCTGCCCTGCTTCATGAGACTGGAGCTGGACCCTGTAAACGTGTCTCCTTCACCAGCGTAGCCGACTGTTGGGCTTCACAGATCAAGGGCCCTGAAGCTGCACGGTAACCATCAGTGAGAACACACTGCACTTCTGGGTGCTGGCTCTCCATGTCTATTCCCCACAGGAGCCCAGCCGCCCCAACAAAGGCGTTCCATCTGTGCTTCAGGTCACACCACCAGCCCTGCTGCCACTGCGGAGCAGCCCCAGTGGGCTGCTTCCATGGCAACTCGGTCATTTCATCAGGCAACGGTCTTGCCACTCTAGCCTGTGCCCTCCGGCACGTCTCTTCACCACTGGCAGGCTGACAGTTCCTGTGGACACCACGCCTTTTCCAAAGAAGCCTGGCACTCAGCCTATGGGCATGGGGTGAGGGAAAAAGCCATTCCTAGACTTCAGTTTTTAAATTTTTTTCACTTTGTCTCACCTTGGAGATAGCTGCTTGTTTTTTGCAACTGTCATTTCTGGACTCCTTAAACTCCTCTTTTATCCCTCTAAATAGTTAACGCCCTCCCACTAGTTAACAAGTGTTTTATTAAAAATTTCCTGTTCAACTCTCTGGTGTGGTTTCTGTCTCCTGACCTTGCCCTCACTGATACACTCCTGAGTCTATAAGCCATTTTAAAATGATACTAAATGGTCTATATTTATGCTGCCAGCAAAAACCATATGGAATTATCGACACCTAGCCTATATTAAGAACTTCCTTTAAAAAGTTCTTTTGAAATGTGCTTGTAGTGGAAATACAGTCTAGCTACCTTAATTATACCTATTTGATGCAGTTCCAATTTTTATCTTTACTTTTTACTGTTTGGATATGTTCCTTTGTGTGGTGGCTAGGTGGCGAGGAAAGCCAGTGTTTGACTTTCATATAAAAGTAAATGAGATTGAGACTTTGAAGTTTAGAATTTGAACGTGGGAATCAGCCTTCATGCAGGCCTCTTCTGAGTCTATCCTTAAAGCCTGCCAGTCTCTCTAAATGCAGTAATCAAACCAAATTCAAAATACGGGGCATTCCACACACACTGGAAGCGTAGAGTGCATAACTTTGGAACTAGATAAAGTTGGGGTGAAGGGGGGAGGTTGTATGGTCTTAAAATTTTTCAGGTGAATATTATAGCACTTATACTCTATGGAGGTGGGGCGGGATGCTTTACACAATTGTTCACATGTGGAACAGTTCCAAAATTGTTTTTAAGAAAATCTTGTCTCTAACAGTGGGTACATTTTTTTTTTTTTTACCTTTTTTCAAAAGATTTAATTGAGGAATTGAACAGTGTTGGGGAATTGGGGAAGGGGAACATTGTGTTTTTCCAGGACCCATCAACTCCAAATCAAGTTGTTGTCCTTCAATCTTAGTTGTGGAGGGCGCAAGCTCAGCTCCAAGTCCAGTTGCCGGGGGTGTAGTTCAGCATCCCATGCGGGAGTCAAACCGGCAACCTTGTTAGAGCATGCACTCTCACCAGCTGAGCCATCTGGCTGGCCCCTAACAGTGGGTACTGTTAAGGACGTTTTCATGAGATGCAAAGGCCTATAACGGAGGCGGTATCCTCATTACACTGCTCTGGTTTCAGAAGAGGATGTCATCTCTGTCCCCAGCGCCAGGTATTATACGGACCTGCCCTTCATTATTAATGATATCTGTACCCCAGGTACTTGTCAGAGAACAACCTTGAACTCTATTGGCCAACCTTCAACATCTCATTGTTGAGAAATGTTTATGGAGGAGGCCCAAATTAAATAATCCATCCATTTCTCTACAAATTCCAAGTGATATTAAGCTCACTGTGGAGACCTTTGTGTCTGGTACCTTGTTTGGGCCACACATCACGTTCCTTTTAGCACACTTAGCTTTAGACTGTCTTGTGACATTTATGCCAGGAATGACGTTGGTTCCCTCTCACACAGCAATCGCTACATTGAGGACCCACGGGAAATTTCAGGTTTCAGTTCAGGAGTAAATGTACTTCTAAGCCACTGGTTTGCCCTTTTGAAGTCTGAATAATGTAACAAATCACATATTGACAGCTGGGAGGTTCAGCCAAATTTGTGGCCACGTGGAGCGAATCCATAGGACTTTCATTGTATGCTTTGTTTGATACTTACATTCCAGCTTTAGCTGATTTTTAGATTTTATTTCTCCTTTGCTCTGATTTCCGACCCTCCCCACCCCCCCAAGTTTTGTATCATGTTATTAGACATACTCATTTTGGAATAGGTTAGAGTATAAATATTTGCAGTGAATGAGTTTAAATCTTGTCTCTTTCACTTACTGACCAGATTAAGTTTTTCCAGCTGTAAAATGATCTCGCCTTATCCAGGCCCATTAGGGTGAGTGAAGTTCAAGCCGTGAAGCACCTGCAGGCTCCTGGCACACAGGGTAGGTGATTAGCAGATATCCCCGCCTTCCTTATGAGGGCCGCAGGCCTCTAAAATAATATCTGCGTGAATGAAGAGCAGATACCTCACCTAGCATTATTCCAATACATTTATTCTTCAGAAAACAAGACAAAAAATAGATTTTAGGCTCAGCACTATGAGATTCTTGGGAATCACAAATCGTAATGAGATACAGGCCTTGCCTTCGAGGAATTTGCACTGTATTAAAAATGTAGCTGGGGCCGGCTGAGTGGCGCGTTGGTTAAGAACTGGCTTGATGCCAGAGGGCCCCGGTTCGGATCCCACATATGAGGGCCAGTGACACTGCCCTCTGCAGCTAGGATGGTGAACGGCAGCTCGACCTGGAGCTGGGCTGCCGTGAGTCGCCGGCGATGGCTAGGCTGTAGCCCCTGCTGAAGTGGGTTGCCATAAGCTACCGTGTGTAGCCAGCAGCCAGCGTGAGCGGCCAGCAGCCACAGTGAGCGGCCATCCAGAAGCCGGCGACTGCTCTGCCTCGCCCGGGAAGAGCGCAATGATGGTGCCAACTTGGGCCAGTGAGGCGACGTCCTCCACAACTGGACTGAAGAGCAAAAGGACAGCAACTTGTCTGTTCCCCTTCCCCAATTCCCCAGTGCTGTTCCCATCCCCCCAATTCCCCAATAAAAATCTTTAAAAAAAAAATGTGGCTGAATTAAAAAAAAAAAAGCTGAGTAAGCAGACGGTTACAGGATAGCGTGATACAGTCAATGACAGATCGACGGGAGCGACACCTCACCTAGACCAGGGGAGTCGGGAGGGCTTCA